GGGAAAGGAAGATTAGAGAATGACTGCTTATGGATATGGGTTTCTTTTTTTCTGGGGTGATGAAAAAGTTCTGAAATTAGATGGTGCTTATGGTTGCCTCTAACTTCTGAATATAATAAAACCATGAACTGTACACTGTAAAAAAAAAAAAAAAAAGTGCATGATTTACCCCACTGTGCCAATTTTATTCTAAACCCCAGGACCTAGGAGCTAGTGACAGGTCCAAGAGACATCTAGAAAGCTACTGAAGCCATGTGGGAAGGTGACCTCATTTTGAATAGAAAGGCAAGTGTCAAGGTCTAAGCCTATGGTGATGGCCAGGTTTAGGGGTGAAGATGAAAGAGGCACAGAGGAGCAAGATGAGAGGTCAAAGGAGAGAACAAAGAACCGTGAAAGTAGAGTGCCATGGAGGCAAGAGAGGGAAGCTTTGAGGAAAAGGCAATAACAGCATAAAATGCTACTATTAAAGACAAATCATGGTAAATAGAAAATACAAACTAAGATGGTAGAAGTAAATCTAAATATACCACTAAATAAAATAAATGTCATTAGACTAAACTCACTTATTAAAGGAACAGAGATTCTCGGGTTGAAATAAACGCAAAGCACACATATGGTGCATAAACACATTTAAAGTCTAAAGCTTTAAAGACATTGAAAAACTGAAAGTAAAAGAAATATATATGTATAAATATAAATATATATTTATATTTATGTATATATATACATATATATTATCTAAAGAAAATAAGGAGATATACTATTAGACAAAATAGATTTTAAGGCCAAAGTAATAAGAGATAGAGGATCATTTTTTAATAATAAAGAATATCTTCACCAGTAAGGTAAAGTATCCCAAATCTGAGAGCATATAACCAGGTATTCTCAACATTTACAAAGCAGAACTTGACTAATTATAAGAAGAAACTGACAAATCCACAACTACAGAGAATGAATTATCACTAGAACTCAGGAACTAAGAGACCAAGCAGATAAAAAAGAATGGTAAGGATGTAAAAATATGGATGACATAAGTGGACATTTCTTACCTATTGAACATTTGTAGAACTCTGCTCCCAACAATTAAAGAATCACATTTTTTACAACGACTGAACATATCTTAGCCCACAAAGCAAGTCTCCACAAGTACCAAAGAATCAAAATCATGCAGAACAAGAATAAGATGTTTTCTAAATTACATTCAGTGAACTAAAAGGAGTTCTAGGATTTAAAATATGGCAGGAAAAGAAAAATGTCAATAGCTCACAGATATAGAGAACAGATTTGTGGTTGCCAAGGGGAAGGGGGGTGGGGGAGGGAAGGATTGGGAGTTTGGGATTAGCAGATGCGAACTATTATATATAGAATGGATAAACAACAAGGTCCTACTGTATAGCACAGGGAACTATATTCAGTATCCTATGATAAACCATAATGGAAAAGAATATGAAAAAGAATATATATATGTATAACTGAGTCAGTTTGTTGTACAGCAGAAATTAAATAGAACATTGTAAATCAACTATACTTCAATAAAATTTTACAAAAGAAAAAATAAAAATTTAAATGGAATGTGTGGAAGATAAAATTGAAGAAATCTCCCAGCAAGTAGAGCAAAAAGGCAAAGAAGTAGAAAATGGGAGGGAAAAGCTAAGAATATTAGAGCATCAGTCTAGTAGTCCCAACATTCTCAAAATAAGGATTCCAAAAAGACAGAACAGAAGTTAAAAAAAAAAAAAAAAAAAAAGACCAAGTCAGACTGAAGCCTTGTGAACTCAAGAGCCAGACATGCCAAGGTCTGTCAGAGCCAGGATGCCTGCTGACACCTGCTGTGTTTCCAATCTGAAATAGAATGCCCAGGGGAAGCCAGCTCAGATGCTTATCCGTGCTTCACTTGTCATGACCACAGGGTGGAGAAGTTGCTGCTCTCTCCTCTGTGCCCAGCTACAGAAGCCCATTTGCCTGACCATATTCCTCCTGGACGTCCAGTATCTGGCCCACACGAGGACCTCATTAGATGCCTTGACTTTGGTGAGCCCCATTTTTCTAGGACACACTCATGACCTGACCTCTCTCACTTCCCCACAAGGGGCTCTTAAAACTGTCAAGGAAATAAACCTAGACGGTGTCCCAAGGACTCTATTCAGTTTATTTTCTCCTAGATATATTATTCTTTCATTGCAATGCTAGGTTTGCGCTTATTTTGAAGTTTCATGCATACAAGTAATAGAATTCCAAAGAAAAGCAGGGACTCAGTTAACACATTTGTCAGAATAGTGGTTGCTCTGGGAAGGAGAAGAAGATGTGACAGGGCAGGAAACAGGGGGTTTATCGTATGACAAAAGTGTTCCACTTTGTTGGAAAGTAATGGTATATACACAGGTGTTTGATTGTTGTTTAACTTGAACATATAGATTTTACATCTTCTTATGGTTTATATGAGATTTAAACATGTTTTATAAAGTATGACCAGGTAGAGTTCATCCTAGTAATATATTCTAGCATCAGAAAATCAAATGCTGCCACCAAATGAGGATGATGAGGAAGTCACCATTTTTGCAAGTGGGGGCCACAGCCTTCAAGAGAGCATGTTTGTTGGCCTGGTAGAGACCAATGCCAGCATTCAAAGAATTCAAAGTAAGTTTTAGTGGGTGTGGTAGATTCTATCATTGCCCCAAATATTCACTGCACCTCTCTATGAGAGAATGATAGTTCCACTCCATTGCTGTCAGGCTTTGGTAATGGAATTAAAGTGTAAGTGACATGTGTCACTCCTGAATGGAATCTTCAGAGCATTCCATGGCTCTGCTGTCCACAAGGCCAAATACCCCAGGACAGGGACTACTCATCCAGTCTGGGTCCCAGAATTGCTATTGACCAGCAACAGATAATAATGAGAAAAAGAAATTAAATGTAAGCTGAGTTGCCAGGGGTTGCTTGTTAGACTGAGCTACAGTAAACTACTCTTCAGAGAACTCTGCAGTAGGAAGGGAGAAAACAGAAGTCTCAGGCTACAGAATGTGAGGAAAGGACTTGGTTACTCTATGCCTGGGTATGTTGAGAGACACAGATGAATACTAGAGGAAGGAATAAAAATCCAAATAGGAGAGGAGAATGACAGACAGTGCAAAGTGCCATGGCAGTGGAAAAGGATAAGATCAAGGAACAGGGCGGAGGGTGGGCCTCGGAGATGAGGGGTGCAGGCTCTCTCAGAGACCGTAACAAAGAAAGAATTAGTGACAGGTGGATTGAAAGGAGGAAATTTGAGCAAGCACAAGGAAGATAGTCCCAACTTTTAGAGAAGGTTATTGGTGAGGCAAGTTATTGGTGAGGAAAGCTGCTGGGAGGGAGATGTGGACAAGGGGTAAACAGAGCACTTGAACAAGGTTGGTTTTGGAAAGCCAACATGCCGTCAACATGCAATGTTGGCACTTCACTCCCTGATTCTCCATCAGGTGAGATGTTGACCCAGCCATCTGCTAATAACCACAAAAGTTACGTATAATTGCTATTAGTTGTATACTTAACACTCCAAAACTTAAGAGATCTTTTGCCTTCATACTAGCCTGTATCTGTATAAAGTATAACTGGCCTTGGGACTATTTTCTTTATCAGCATTTTAAGGAATGATTACAACAAGCTACAATATATTTTAAGAACACTGAAAGGAGAATATTTATAAATATTATACAGTAATTTGCCAAAATTATTAAAAGTGAGTGTTAATAATTATTTTATATGGTATACTGTTTTTTGATATATTTAAGTCCCTGACTATTCACAAATTAAATATTAAAATACTTCCTGACATGTGATTGAATGGGCAAATTAAAGGAAATAAATGATTTGGAAATGGGTATAATACAAACTAAATTGGAATACAAGGTTTACTTGATGTTTTCTCAATTATGCTAAATTACTCAACTGAACTACTCAAATATTTGGTTTCAGATTCATTCAAGCTTACAATTACTACATTTACAAAATTATTATATTTCTTTATGCAAGTCATTTTGCATTCGATTTCCCTAGATTCTCTTAGATTTCATCTAGAAATCTAATAGTGCAATGTAATCGGTGCTAAATAAATAAAAGAAAATTTGATTCTATAATCACCCTGGTAAAGAGAGGTTCTAAGCCATTTGGAGCAGTGGTTGGACGAACTCCTCTCCTTCTCCATGTTTCAGGTCTATTTTCCCTTGTGATTTTTCCATTAGGGGGAGGAAGTGGAGGAGGAATAGGCATCACGTAACGGTTAATCTTTGGAAATCGATATCGATTCATTCCCTGTGAATTGTCCATGGAGTTCCTGAACTTCATTGTTGCCTTCTTGCCCTGTAATCACATTTCATGACATAAGAACAAGTGAAGTAGAAGTGGTGACCCAACATAACCCCAAATTAAGACAAGACTGTATGACTGACATTGCGTGCAAACACAACTGATATCAAGAGGCAAACTTAAAACACTTCAATCTGTTGAAAAATGGCATTTTGTAGTACCCATAGCAAATTAAATTTTCATGGATTTCTAACCTTATTTAAGTATATTTTTTAAACCAAACATACAGTGATGGCATTTTTATAGTATTTTGGGGATTTTCCTTCAACAATCCATTAAATCTATGGGGACCCAGTAGAATTAAACAATTTAAAATCAAGACGTTCGAAGTGTTATACTTTGAGATAGGATTGGATAGTTCACTTAATGATAGGGTATTTGCACTTTTTTTTACACTGATTTCACCCACTCAGGTGTTATAACATTCCTTGATAATATGGCTTCAAGGAACCAAAACCCCAGACTCTGACCCAAAGTCTCTGTTCAGCTTATTTTCTCCTAGAAATTCAACTTGTGGGAATAAATTTCACCCAGATAACTACACAAGTACACTTATGTAAATGTGCATAAGGATACACACATACACACAGACACCCACATGCACACACACATATGTCTAAAAAATTTAGTTGATCAGTTTGGGATTGACATGCCCGTGCTGCTATATTTAAAATAAAATGCCTTTCCATGAAAAAAAGAAAAGAAAAAGAAAAAAAAAAGTTTAGGTGAACCACCAAGTCCATCAGTAGGAGGATATTTAACTAAATTTTGCTTTGTTCTGATAATAGATTCTCATCAAGCTTTAGAAAGAATAGTGTTAATCTATTTGTCCAGAGTCCTGACATAAAAAGGTCCATGCAGTGTGATCATACATTTCTTTCAAATAATTTATATGTGGATTTTGATAAAATCAGGGATAACTGGAAGACTCAGAACACAGGGTTGCCTTTGTGGATTTGAATTATTGTGGAGTGGTGAGGGCATATAAGTTTAGTCAACATGTATTACCTTAATGATTAAAAGCACCTAATGTATAAACAAAAACTTTATGTTTCAGGTATATTTGAGCCTCTGAACTTTCACATATTGATAATTTTTGTATATCTGAGGTAGTTTCACAAACTTTAAAGTATCTTTAATCATTTTTATCCATTTTTTACCAATTTATTTGGTATTATTTTAAATTCATTTTCAGCCAATTTATTCTTTATTTTGAGATGCTTAAATTGTGAAAAGTTATTTTTATGAAAGTCATTCCCCATTCTCATTGCTGAATAAACAAAAGCAGGTTAAAGAAAGGCATGTATATGCCATATTTTGATTGAAAACAACATTTATGTGAACAGAAAGGGATTTAAATAGATATTCACCAAGGGATTTAGAATTGTTAGAATGCTTGATGTTGCAGGTATTATTTATGCTCTCATTTTTCTTTTCTTACATTTTCCAATTTTTCTGTGATGGTGTGCATTGACATTGTAATAACAAATATAAATTAAAGAAGTGAAAACAAGATAATAAAACAATAAGATCAATGAATCCAGATCTTTTTGGTCCTGGGGGTTATCTTTTAATTTCTAAGTAGTTATCAATCAATGGCATACCTTATTTGGAAATGGTTTAGTAAATTTTAAAAATTAACCTTCTGCTCCTTACCTTGCTTTTTTTTAGCCCAAAGCATCTTGGACATCTTCCCATGCCAGTATAAATAATTTACCTTATTTTTTAATATACTTTAATATGCCATAACATTTTTAAACAATAAATTCTTAGGTGTCTTCCAAATGTTCACTATTGCAAATATTAAAATACTAAATATTCCTGAATCTGTTTCTTTCCACATTCATGTGTGTTCCTAGGATAAATTCCAATATGCTAAAATGCTTGAGCATGTTCATTTAAAATGTTGATAGATATTCCCATATTGCCTTCACAAATAGTTGTACCAATTTCTACTCCTATCAACAGTGTATAAGAAACTCTCATTCTAAGGATAATCATTTTCAATCACACCATTAATTTTACTCAGTAGCATCTCAGCCAGTCTGTTTTGACCAAATTGCTTTTGCCTAAATCAAGGCTCCTCACCCCTGATACTTAGAAAATTCAACCTGCTTACGTCTGTTGCACCTTCAAACAATTCCCCCATTCATATCTTTTACTCTTTTAGTGGGTGCTTACTACACACTCAGCAATCATGCAGACTATTATTCTTTAGGAATTTTTTGTCTGATTTTATATTAACTAATTTTCATCATCAGTGCCATTGAAAGAATTGCATGTCCTTCCTGGCAGTATATTTTGCCTATGTACATCACAGTATAAGCTGCAAAAAGTTAGAGAATTTTGTCTGCTTTGATAGTTGATATATCACCAATGCCTAGAGCAGGACCTAGTCCATTGTAAGTGCCCAATAAATTCCACTGGATGAAAAATGTAAGTTTAGCAAGTTGAAATTAACATGGAATTGATCTCAATCTTGTCGGCATGTGTAAGCTACCATTAAGTGCAATCCCTCACTCACACCCCAAAACTTGGAAATGGTAAAATAAAAGGTCCTGTGCAGATTTAATTAATAAATCAACCCAGTGGCTCAGAGAAGGTTTGGAAAATCACCTAAAAGAAAAATCGTTCGCTAGTCAGAAAAAATTAAATATTACCTGATTGATAGTATTCACATATCTAACATAAAGATGGGTCCGATCAAGTAGAATTAATAGATACAGGAACTTAGAAAAGAATAAAATCACCTTGGCAAATGTGGAAAGTTCCCGTCTGAGTACTAACTAAGGGACAGGAAATCCCACCCACTGGGCTTTGAATATTTCTGGTCCTAAAGGCAAAGTTATCCCTGGAGGTTATAGAGGGCTTTAGCCAAAGACCTTTGAGCTTTCTGGTACCTTTGGCAAGCCCATTCCTAAGAGGAGACAGATGCATCAAGCTAAGATGACCTGATGCCATTAACATTCCATTCTACCATATTCCCTCATTCTGATTCCATACTCACCAGGCAACCTTCTCATTGTGATCTGGCTTCCCATGTAGGTCTGCCTATAAGGGGAAAATGTACTGCTCCTACAAGCTTTGATTTAATTGTTATCTGATGAATTAATGGTCCCTAATTATGATTTGATTCCCTATTTTGATTTACTATAGTGAGAAAAAATGGGTTTGTCGTGTTATTTTAGTTAGCTTGAGACAATTTCTCAGGATCTGACTATTCCTGGACACTAGCTTGAAATGGGAAATCTCTGGACATTTAAAGTGGAGACCAGATCCAAGAAAGTGTCAACCTAATTGTCTTATGACCCAAAAAGTTCCCGCCTAGCTCTAAGCAGTTGTCCCAGACAAAATGCCACCATTTTTGGTTTAATTTCTCCTTCTTTCCAAGAAACTACTATTAAGTTAACTAAAGTAAGGTTTGTGAAAAATGCTTCACAAGGTAAAAAGCATATTAAATGGATTTAAATATTATTTATCATTTTAGGGTTATGTTTGTACTTTTAATGTGAAAAACAATAATTTGTCTGAATTAATTTCTTAGTGTCAAGGTCATCTGTCAGCTTTAGATAAAAATATCTTAATTTCATATGTCATATGTTTCCTAATAATTAATGGAGCTAAATTCACCCATTTGAGCATAATTACAATTGTACTCATAACACAGATTCTATCTTAAGCTGGCAAATGTTTCTTCTCGGTGTTAAAAATACAAACAATACCTTCCCTAATTACTAAATGTCCCAATTATCCTTCCCTTTTAAGTAACTCATATTTTATGGCTACCATACCTCCTTCCTGTGCTCTATTAAAATAAGTGAAAATTACCTGAGATATAACCTTGAAAAGGAAGCATAGTCGAGCTTCTGTGTGTGATTAATTCAGGGTTTTTTTAAAGATGGACATTCTTTTCCTTCTATATCCAACCTTCTCCAGAGTCAGACTTGAAGCAATTTCATACACTGATGGTAAAGTAAGTCGGCATGCAAATGCAAACCTATTCTTGGAAAGTTTCATTTTCTAGGTTTCATGCATTTAAAATTTGGAAGCAGTCAAAACTTGGTCTATTCTGATAGAAGTCATATCTAGCTATAAAAAGTTCCTCTTTGTTTTTCACACAACCTTTCAAATTCATGAGAGATCATCTTAAATTATTACAAATCTATTCCTTACTCTTTTGCCCAATAACACAGAAATTATAGGCCTTCCAATTAAAGTAAGAAATAATTAAACAGACATACATGGCAAGTGCTTAATAAGTGCACAGTATATATTTCACTAAATAGATTAATTGAATCTAGCATCTTAAAGACTGTGAAGAAAAAGCATTTACCCCAATGGGAAATGGAGCTTCATTTTCCAGCAGTGAGGTTTTTGATCTGGACCCCGAAGTTACCTTTGGAGCAGTTCCTGCTGCAGGATTACTGGGAAGAGGTTGTAATCGAATTGGAGGCTGCATATTTCCTGGGGCAGTGTATGGTCGAGGGGCTGTCTAGACAATTAGGGAAAAAAATTCCATTTAAATTAGTATCTTGACATGTTTCCAGGACCAATTAATAGCTCAACAAATTGCCTAGACTAATTAATGGTGCCTTTTTACTGAACAGATTAACCTTTAATTATGTCCTTCCATTATACATACTCTTATGACCCAACGTATTTGTTAAAACATACGGTGTAGAAGTCCTCTACATACCTAACTGCCGCAATTGTAGCGTATTTTGGATAAAGATGTTCTCTGTTAGGTTCCTGTATTTTATTCACACTGTGAACTTGCTTACAATACCTAATTGATGCTGTACATTGAATGGCTTTGTTCAATTAAATGTTAAGTTGAATAATGCTCCTAATTTAGACATCTAAGGGCCTATGATTAAAATTAACTCATTCCTGTTTAAATGTTTTCAACATCAACTCTAGTACGAGTCCTTTAGGTCTTAAGATTGGTGCTGAAGTAAAAGCAGACAATACAATTCAAAAAGAGGGAAGGCAAATACTTACTTCTACTGCATTACCATTTATTCAATCTCTTCCTTGAAATACCAGGAAAACAAAACTGAAAAATTGTAACTGGCAACTTTGGAAAACTGTCAAAATGGAGATGTTTTCCAGGCTGGATAGTTTCCATTTGCCCCTCTTCTCTGTCTTCTCTGTTCTGCTCCGGCTGCCGGGAGTTATTTCTTTATGGACTACATCAACTAACCTCAGGATTCCAGTTGGATTTGGCCAATGAAAGACACTGGCAGGAGGTCAAAAGACAGGAGGGAAGGAGACTGGGGTCTTAACGCTCCTGGACCCTTCCCAACCAAGGTTATGATGGGCCAGCTGGGTCCCTCCAACAGAGTCCACAGCTCCTATCAGGAAGTCCTCTCCCAGAACCTGCCAGCTGGTTCTGGTATCCAAGTCCTCTCTTTCCCCCTAAGCCTATGTGGTGTGGTTTCCCATTGTATTCACCAGCATGCTTTACATCCCCAGCTGGTTTTCCTTAACCCCACCTGCATCTTTCTAAATAGTTTCTTTATTAAACCCTTCCTAATTACCCTATTTGTGTGAGCCATCTGTTTCCTGCT